TGTATTTGGTAATCGTTTTTCTCTCTTTATGATGTGTAGCTAAAACCCCAATTCTTGGGGTGTGATCATGTGATTATTTGCTTAATTTGCTTATGGGTATTGTTGTTTAATGATTTATTTGTTGTTTTAATGTGGGTTTGATTGATAGTTGAGTAGTAATTCATGAATTGTAGTAGCAATTACAATTCTATCTTAGTGTTTTGGGCTTGCTCGAGAGAGATGTTCTAAAGTCAGCCAAGGTGATCAATTGATGATTGTAGTGTGTGGGTCGTTGTGGGTTCAGCTCTAGAGAGTGAATCTTGGCTCATTCCTACCTATCTAGCTCGAGAGAGTAGATAAATTAAGGTTTTGGGTTGTTTTTATATTGGTAAGCTTGTCGATGTTCGAGAGAAATAGCCTGAATAGTAATAGTTGTTCGAGAGAAAACTATTGCACTTATTGTCCAGCCTAACCAAAATGTTTCAACAAGTTATTGTTAAATCTCAATTACCCATATCACGTAATTAATTTATAATCGATCATATCCCGATAATACCTCTTAATATTGTTGTTTTCCCTTGTTTTCGTACTTGTTTTAGCTGTTAATTGCAAACCTATTCCCCCATCTGTCATTTGTTGTCACCCCTTTTTATTTAACTACATGTTTTCAATAATTTCTATTCCTACCACCAATTAGATTACATTCGTACTTCGTGACTGAATTCGAACACGTACCGCTCCCTGTGGGTTTGACCCCAACTCTTTGTTGGGTTTTATACTAGATTAAGATCGCCCACACCTATTATTAGATGAGGTGTGGCTGAGTGTTTATCACCTAACTCACATAAAGCAGGAAAGTACATAATAAATTGTTGAAGTCTACAATATTTTTCTTTCACAAGAGGTTTTCATAAAAACGTTCAAGGGTTCATGTCTCTGGAATCCACTCGAGAAAGGAGCCCTAGAGATGGAATTCCCCATATCATGACCTTGAATGGTTGTACGGTCCATAAGTAGATTCACTGACTATTGACCTACCTATAATTCAATCTTCAAAAATTTTAAAAGTGGGGTTAACATGAAGGCTAGGATGTACGACATGTGGATTCTTGTACGGACTGTGGAAGAGTCTGTAGAGTAAGGCTTTGGGATTAAGGGAATTTGACCTCAAGATGGTTGTAAGAGAGGGTTAATAACCCATATAAGTTTCTACAGACTATTAAACCGACCATGGATTGAAAGTTTAGAAACTTGGATTTTTTGTGGTTGGACAACACGAGAGGGTCCACGGACCGTCAAAAGATATATAGTCTATAGAAAGGGGCCACAAAATGTTTTTGACAGATTTTAAGTCAAAGTAATTAGGTCTTTTAATACTCTTTTAATTCCTATATTATGTCATTTTGGGCTTATTTAGGAGGCTTCAACTGATCCCTAAGGCCCCTAACCTCCCCATTCTGTCTCATTCACTCAATCAAAGTTTCTTCTTCTCCAAGTCTCTCTCCCAAGACAAGAACAAGGATTTCAAAGATTCAAGTCTTCTTCTTCAATTTCACCTAGGGTTTATATTACTGTATGTGAGAGCTTCATCAATGGTTCCTTCTTTTCTCATTGAGCCCCAAAGAAACCTCAAATTCTTATTTATGATTCTTACTCGAAATCTAGGGTTTCATGATTTCTTATGATTTCTATGGAATTCAAGTTTATTCTTCATGGTTGATCTTATTATGCATGATTTGATCATAATTCAATATTTTCAAATTATATTTTTATGAACCCAGGCTATGCAAGTATTTCATGATCTTGACTAAGCTATTTCGGTATTCATGCACATGTTATGAAGTTTCTTATGAATCAAGGATGATTTTTCATAAAGTATCATTCAATTATATGATTATTGGGATTTAAATACTTCAGATAAGTGTGTCAAATATCATGTTAAAAATCATGATTTTAAGGGGCTATTCTTTTGATTATTAGCTTTTCCATGAAAGATTCAATATTACCTAATTCTTACTATTTATATATCTATAAATATGCGTGTTTTTAGTTGGGAGAACTTAGCACTGAGTTGGACTAATGGAAATTACCCAAGTCTTAAAACTATGTGACCCCATAGGACTTTGTTAATTTACTCTAGCTAATGGATCCATCTTAGATCATGATTATGGTCCTTACCTTGGCAAGTAGGACACTCTCTTTATTGTATGGAAGCAGTACACTGAAATCCATGTTGTACCTCACATGGTTTATGACGGTGACTGGTATCTCCCACCTATGTAATCAATATGATGTTGAAGAATATTGCATCACCTTGTACAATGTATTTTAGAATCAGATTATCAATGTTCATTATATGTTTAGTTGGTCAATGTATTATCATATTTTCAGACTTATCATCTTATTATGTCCTGTTTATGCATAGAATGTACTGATCACAGAGTTTCTTGCCTATATTGTTGCATAATATAGGTTCTAATGCACATCCTTCTGGCCATTGTTAGTACATGATTCTATCAACTTAGAACTATTGTAATAGGTCCTCATGGTTTGGGGATATGCCACTTATGAGTTCCTTATGTTTATTTCAGACTTTACATTTAAATTTTCAAATGTTCGAGTATGCTAGGGCTTGTCCTAGTAACTCACTTACGTTCAGAGGCTCTTTCAGACTTTAGTACTTTTGGTTCTGAGTCTTTGTATTCATATTTATCTTATATGTTGAAAATATCATTTGAGACGTCATTCTATTATTCATGTTATTGCAATTTGTACATTATCTCAGTGTCATGATATGCCATGTGGTTCGCTTAGGTTCTTTCAGTACTCTAGGTACCATGTCACATCTAAAGGGTAGTCTTTAGTCATGAAAATTACATATTCATGTAGACAAGACACTAAGGAACCCATAGTGCTTTATGGGATCAAATTCAGGTAAGTACAAATCCCAGAATCAAATTCGGCTTGAAAAGGATAGTTCTGGATGTCAAGGGAAGGAGGTAGGTTGTGAAAAATGAGATTTCCACAGAAAAATAAGGGTTGTTTGCACTCAATTTTCGATGGAATTCATTGGTTAAGGTAATATTATTACTCCCCTACATTGTACATTGATTATTAAGCCTTAGAATCTGGAATATTGCTCATAGGGTAGGGTTTCAACATCATTTCATGGTGGGAAAAAGTCCTAAGTTGGGGAAGATGATCATCAATTGGCGTAGGGTTAGGATTTGAGAATAATTCGGGTATAATTAGGCTTTTGTGATTGATTGTTTCTTTTATTTATTGATTTAGACTAAGAACAAACTAAGTCACTTAGAAAAGGGAAAGCTTGGGTTCTTTAGAGTTTCAAGAAGCTTGTTTTGAGGTAGGCGATGGTTGTATGTTTTCTAGTTTATGTATGTATGAATGTCTATTGCTTTATCGTATCCTTGTGCAATTCATATTAGAAAAATATAGAGAGGCATATGAAATGACATCATGTTGATAAACTCATGCATGAACTTGTTATGTTACTTGTGGTTTCAAGTCTTATTGTTCATGATATTTATGATAGTGCATGATTGGCTGTGCTTGCTGGTTGGCTCAGGTATGGTATAGGATATCCCACAGTTGGCTCAAATACCACACCTAGTATATACTAATTGTTGGCTCAGATATCACGCCTGGTGCGAGGATATCCATATATGGTTGGTTTTGGCATCACACCATTACACTAACTATAGATGACTCAGGTACTAAGCAGTTATACTAAGAGTTTGACTATGGGTTTCATAAGAGGACCAAGTATGTGTTTATAGTTCCATGAGAGAATTGACATTGAATTTTTAATCATATGGGACATGCATCTAGCCATTTCTTGTTTCATGATATGTGACTTGGAGTCGGTATGTATTGATAATTATTTATGTGTTGTTATGTGTTACTGTGCTATGATAAGCTATTTACATTCATATTTTGGACTGACCATGTGATCCTACAGTACACTGTTATTTGTGTACTGATACTGCAACTGTTCTTTCCTTGTTGAGTACATGGCATCTTCCAACGGCTGATCCAAAACATTAGTTAAGGGATGTCTGACTTCAAATCCAAGGGTGAGCTATTCTTCCAGGCTACCATGGATTCCTCTCTTTTCCTTGTCCATCTTTCTTGACTAAGACATTCTTAGACTTTTATCATCATTTTTGAACTTCGGGAAAATCTTCTTTATTTTAGACATTAAAATTTTGGTAGCACAACTATTACTTCTTAGGGATTTGTGTCTGCATAACAATGTGATAATTGAGTTGAGTTTATGAAGACTCAATTCTTTAATTACTGAATTGTTTTTGACTAGTGAGAGCAAATGTTGCATTTGAAGGTCTTCCCATTATGGATGTTTTAATGGTTTAGCAAGTGTTCTCCTTTCTGAGTGGGTTGGTAGGTGCTGGAGTTACTCCTACTATTTAAGGTACTTCGGCTTTGATTACTCATACTATTGTGTCTATTATCCATAAGATTGATGGAGACATGACAACGATTCTCTCTTCCATCCCCAACTTGGATCTGTGATGACCCGTTGTGAACATGAAATACTGAACAAGTTCTTGAGGTTTACGACCTCAATGTTCCATGGTTCAAAGAGTAATGATTCTTTTGTGTTCATCTTGGACTATTATTAGAGGATGCATAAGTTGGGTATTATGTAGCAACATGGTGTTGAGTTTTTACTTCTTAGCTTCTGGGTAAGGCCAAGCAATGGTGGAAAGATTTTGTGGAATGTCTATCATCAATCTTGCCTCCACTAACTTGGTCATAATTCCATGCATTATTCTAGGAGAAATATGTGCCTCTCACTTGAAAAGATAGGAAGAAGGATGAGTTTATGGATCTTCAGAAGGGTAATATGACTATGGCTGCTCATGAGGATAAGTTACATGCTTTGTCCTATTATTTCATGTAGTTGATAAGCTCAGAGCAGGAAAAAGATTCAATTGTTTGTCAAGGGTTTGAAATATAAATTTTAAGTTTTGTCGGTGTAAATGACCTCTATAGTTAATAGCTTCAATGAGGTGACTAATTTTGTGAAGAAGGTAGATGGAGTTCGGAAGGATAGACATGCTAAAACATTGGCTAAGAAGTCCAAGAAAATGGTCACCTATAGTGGTTCATATTCTAAAAGTCCTGGTTAGTAGGTTATTTCAGGTTATCTGATTCAGTCGATTATGCCCACTTCTGCAGGTGGTCAAGGGCTTTTATTATGAATCAACCAGTAGGCCCACACTTGACCGTGGTTGTTTCTATTGTGGTGAGCTAAGACACTTTAAGAAGGATCGCCCTCATAGACCGATAGTTAGTAAGGTTCAACAATAGACTAGAGAAATGGTTTTAGTGGGTGGACGTAATAATGGTAGAAGATGTCCACAAGGTGGGTAAGGAGATAAGAAGGGGTGTTGTGGAGGCCGATAAACTGGTTATGCGGGGAGAGGATTGGTGCAGCCCATATTCTGTGTTGTTAATCAACCTGCATACTCGAGTAGATTTATTCATATTAGATGTGCTAAATTTGATGTTATCTTGGGTACAACTTAACTGTCCTTATATTTTGATGTGTTGAACTATAACACAATGACTCTAGAGATCCAGGTAGGGAAAGGTTAGATGGGGAATGGGTGTATAAGCGTAATCCATTCCAGATCATATCTTTCCTTAGGGCTAGTAACCTAATCTTATTGGGTTGGTTTGTGTATTTGGCTCATCTATGGGATGTTGGTGCAGTGTCCCCTTCCATTGTGTCTATTCCCTTGGTTTTGGAATTTCTAGAAGTGTTTCCTATAGATCTCCCTGGTATGCCTCTAGATAGGGACATATACTTCCGTATTGATTTGGAGCCAGACACTCGACCAATTTCTATCCCTCACCATTACATGGCTCTGACTCAGTTGAGAGATTTTAAGATTCAGCTCCAAGAATTTCTTGATAAGAGATTTGCTTGTCCTAGTGCTTCTCCTTAGGGCGCTCCCATGTTGTTAGTGAAGAAGAAGGAAGGTAGTATGAGAATATGCATAGATTACAAGAAGTTGAATAAGGTTAACATCCAAAATATATACCCTTTACCTCATACAAATGATTTGTTTTACCAGTTGTAGGGTTCTTCTGTCTTATCTAAGATTGACGTGAGGTCAGAGTACCGTAAATTAAAGATTATACCCAATGACACACCTAATAAAACTTTTAAGAACTGGTATGGGGATTATGAGTTCTTGGTGATGTCATTTGGGTTGACTAATGTGTTTGCAACATTTATTAGTTCAATGAATGGGGTGTTCAAACCATTCTTGGGTTCATTGTGATTGTATTTATAGATGATATCTTCATTTAATACAAGTAAAAAGAGGAGCATGCAAATCAGGTTCGTATTGTTCTAGGTATCATGGGAAACAGAAACTGTATGCTAATTTTAGTAAGTATGAATTATGGCTACCCTCAATTGCCTTTCTTAGGAATGTGGTTTCGATAAATGGGTTGATGGTAGATCCCCACAAGATTAAGGAAGTTTAGAATTTGGTTTTGCCTACTATATGACAAAAGTTAGGAGTTTTGTGGGTCGTGCAAGCTACTATCGAAGGATTTGTGAAAATTTTTTCCTCTATTGATACTCACTTGACCAAGTTGATTAAAAAAAGGAACTACCGTTTGAGTGGTAAGACAAGTGTGAGGAGATGTTTCAAAAGATCAATGTTATTCTAACTAAACCACCTATCATGACATTGTTGGTGAAAGGTATTCTTTATTTATTGTGATGCTTTGAATTCATGCTTGGGTGATGTGTTGATGTAGGAAAACAATGTCATAGCTTATTTTTCTAGACAGTTGAAGGTCCATTAGATAAACTACCTCATCAATGATTTGGAGTAAGCAAAAGTGGTGTTTGCTCCAAAAATGTGGCGGCATTATCTTTATGGGTTTAAATGTGAGGTATTCACTGATCATCAAAGGCTACAACATGTGTTCACTCAAAAGGATCTGAATTTGAGATAGACAATATGGAGGGAGTTTCTCAAAGATTATGATGTGACCATTCAGTATCATTCGGGTTAAGGCTAATATGGTGGAAGCTACCTTGAGCTAGAAGACAATTAACATGGGCATGTATGCTTTGTTGGGGGATGTCTTAGCGACCCTTGGAAAGAGAGATATATATTTTGGAGTCTAAGTTAATGCAATTAGGTATTTCTGAGCAGGGTGAGATCCTAGATAGTATTGAGGTCAACCCCACCTTCATGTAGGAAATCAAGATTAAGCAACTTGAGGATAAGGAATTGGTTAACATCAAAGGTAAGGTGGTGACTGGGGAGACCCCAGATGACACTCTCGATGCAGATGGTGTGCTTAGTTTTAGAGGAAGGGTTTGTATTCCTCTATTTGGTGAATTGATCCATAGTCTGTTGGAAGAGTTTCATGGTTTGTGGTATTTATTCATCTGGGTGTAACCAAGATGTATAGGGATTTGAGGGTACTTTATTAGTGGTCTAGGATGAAGAAAGGCATTATTGTGTATTTTTTTAAATGTATGAATTACTAACAAGTGATGTATGAACATCAAAGGCCTACATGTTTGCTTCGAAGAATGCCTATTCCTGAATTGAACTGGGAAATGATAGGTATGAACTTCGTAGAGGGACTACCTAAAACCTTGGGGAAGTATGATTTGACTTGGGTCATTTTTGACAGCTTGATTGAATCAACCCATTTTATTCCAGCTAGAGTGGATTACAACTCTCATTATTTGGCCAATATTTAATTCAAGGAGATGGTAAGGTTGCACGGGGTTCCCCTTTATATCATTTTAGATGGTGGCATTCAATTTACTTCAAAGTTTTAGGCTAAGTTATAAGAAGTGTTGGGCACTCAACTCACTTTCAGTTTAACCTTCCATCGACAGACTGATGGTCAATTATAAAGGACTATTATGATATTAGAAGATATGTTGAGAGCATGTGTACTTGATTTTGGGGGGCTTTGGGACCAATTCATACCCTTATGTGAGTTCTTCTATTATAATACTTGTCACTTCAGAATTGATATGGCACCATTTGAGAAACTTAATGGGAGGAGATACAGATTGCCCATAGGGTGGTTTGATGGTGATGTGAAACCTTTGGATGGTGATTTGATTAGAAAAAGCTCAGTTAAGGGTGAATGAATTTAGGTTAAGTTGTTGGCAGCCTAGAGTAGGTAGGAGTATGCAGATTGCAAGGTAAGGGAAAAGGCATTCAGGTTGGTGATCAGGTTATGGTGAAGGTGTCCCCTATGAAAGGAGTCATGAGGTTTGGTAAGAATGGTAGGATTATCCCTTGTTACATTGGCCCATTTAAGATTCTTGATGGTGTGAGGCTAGTGGCTTGCAAGTTAGCACTGCCATCAAACTTTTCTGGAGTCCACCCAGTTTTTGGTATGTGTATGTTAAAGAAGTACACCATGAGGATGGATATTACATCATTAAATGGGAATCAATAGTGTTTCTTATTTGATCACATGGGGATGAGCGATGGGTATATTGGTAGCTATTGTAATGATCAATCTCGGTTATTTTGGGTAGTCCAATAGCAAAAGAATTTGGGCCAGAAATGTTTTTGGATAGTGACTTAAATTTTTTAGGCTAGGCCAGTCTCCGATAAGATTTGGGCTAGGCATGGTATAGAGATATCCGGTAATGGACGAATTGTAATGTCAAGTCTTAGATGATCACATGTTCTTGTAGCCAAAACATTAAGGAAACCATAGGGTTTTATAAAATAAAATTCTGGTGAGTAAAACTCTTGAAATCAAATTCAGCATGAAAGGGATTGTTGTGGGCGCTAAGGGAATGAGGTATACAGTGAAAAAAAAGGGATTTTCATGTATTTGTGTGTCTCAAAAGTTCAGATATTCCATAGTAGCAGGACTCAGACCACTATAGTGGTATTTGTAGGTTGCTATGATAGGGTAAGTTCCGCTATAGCGAGTTGCACCACTATAACTAGGCACATTTGGATTTTATGTAGAAACAACCCCAAAACATCCTAATTTTAGCACTTTTGTTCATGCATTTGGGAGGGGGGATTTAGGATTGTTTGCACTCAATTTCCCAAGAAATTTGTCGATTAAGGTAAGATTATTATTCATCAACCTTGTACATTGATTCTTAAGCCTTAGAATCTACTATATTGCTCGTGGGGGAAGGTTTTGATGATGGGAAAAATCCCTAACTTGGGAAAGATGATCATGAATTGGCATGGGGTTAGGATTTAGTAAAAATTTGTATAATTAAGCCTTTGTGATTGCTTGTTGCTTCATATATTGATTTAGATCAAGAATAAGACAAGGCACTCCGTAAAGGGAAATCTCATGTTCTTTAGATTTTCCAAGAGGCTTGGTTCAAGATATGTGATGGTTGTATTTACTGATTTATGTATGTATGTATGTCTACTTCTTTAAAGTATCATTGTACAATGCATATTAGTGAAAACATAAGGAGGCATATAAAATTTCATCGTGTTGCTGCTCTCATGAATGAACTGTTATGGGACTTGTGGTTTCAAGTGTTATTGTTAGGTGATGGTTCTATGTTTACCGATTTATGTATGTATGCATGTCTACTTCTTTAAAGTATCATTGTGCAATGTATGTTAGTGAAAACATAGGGAGGCATATCAAATGTCATCGTGTTAATGATCTCGTGAATGAATTGTTCATAGGACTTGTGGTTTCAAATGTAATTGTTCATGTTGTTTGTGATTATGCATGATTGTATGTATTTCTTATTGGTTAAGGTATGATGCTTGATACTGAATATCTTCACGATTGACTCAAATATCGCCTGGTATATACTAATGGTTGGCTCAGGTTCAACGCCATGTATGGGGATATCTTTATATGGTTGGCTCGGGTACCACGCTAGTACACTAACTACAAGTGGCTTGGGTACCATGCTGGTACACTAAAAAAATTACTTTGGGTTCTGTGAGAGGATTAGATATGCATTTAAGGTTCCATGGGAGACTCGGCATTGCATTTGTGATCATATAGGATATGCATCCAAGTATTTATTGTTTCATGAGATGTGACTGGGAGTCGGTATGTATTGATAATTGTTTATGTGTTGTTCTATATTACTTTTCTATGGAATGTTGCTTATATTCATATATTTGATTGACTGTATGATCCTTCCAGTATAGTGTAGTTTGTGTACTGATACTTGCTCTTTCCTTTTTGAGTACAGGGCATGTTCTAGCAGCTGATCAAAGACCTCAGTTAAGAGATGTCTAACTTCAAATCTAAGGGTAAGTTACTTTTAAAGAATGTTGTGTATTCCTTTGTTCATCTTGTCCATCTTTCTGGAGTAAGACATTCTTAAACTTTTATTATTGTTTTTGAATTTTGGGGTTGCACCCCTTTTTATTTTAGACACTAGAGTTTTGGTACTGGGACTTTTAGTTCTTAGGGGTTTATTTCTGCATAACAATTTGATTATTGGGTTATTTATGGGGACTCAACTCTTTAATTACTGAATTGTTTTTGGCTATTGATTGGGTTTATGTAGACTCAATCGTTGGTTGTTTGAAACCTGTTTTCATACTTTTATTATGATGAACTTGCTTTATCAATGGTGTTTTGGGTGTAGTTGGGGTTAGTTTTTGGTTCTCTCACCAGGTAGTTTAGTGGTAATGCCACTCGGGATGGTCTGAGTCGTGATATATGAAAAACATCTTGATGATTGTAGCAGAATATTAAAAATGACTAGATCTTAACTATTAGAATGGAAAATTTTCAAGTTCTTGTGCTAGTACATTTTTGTATGTATTGAATGGACCAATTAGAAAAATTAGTTTAGGTTCTGATTGTTAATAAACAATATCTCTTGTCCATTACATGTACTTATACTCTTAATCTTGATATAATTTTTATGATATGTGTAGTTTGTTTTATTAAAAGTATAAGTACATGTAACTCGCAATTATATTAGTACAAT